CTATTGTGAGTAGAATTAAAGCGAATAAGCTGAGAATCAAAGATACGGTAAAAAGAATTGCGCTAAACTACGCGAGGTCGCAGGAAGACGTTCAAAAAGCGGTATTTCGAAAACTATTAAAAAAAACAACTCCCAAGAAATTTCTAAAAAGAAGATTTTTTTTAATGCTTTAAATCTCTCTGTTCTGATTTGTGAGAACTTTAAAATGGGAACAAAATTTACAAAGCGGAACATGATTTGGTAGGCAATGCCAAGTACAGAAACGTTTCTGACCCATATTATACAGATGAAACCATCAACGCAGAAGTGTATCTGAACAAATGCATAAAGAAAGGATTGTTTTTTTATATACTCTAACACCATAATATTGATGAAATTCTATTTTGGCCAGACATGGCAACTGTCCATTAAGCGAGGAACGTGATCGTTTATCTAAAGTCCAAAAAATATTCAGTTTGTATGCAGAGATAATAATGTCCCAAACGTAACCTAAGCACGGATTTAGTGTAAGGGTGAATACTCTCTGAGTTCGAGAAGTCGAAAAGAAAATCAGCATTCCGAAATACATGGACTAAGATCAATAAGAAATTTGTGCATAAACATGGAAAGGCAATTATATTTTGGTTCGATGGGTGAAGCAACGCAACATGTGGGCGATCTGCCAAGGATGGAATGTCTCCAGGAAGACGTTTACGAGAAGCCGACCCTTTTAAGTGTGTTAAAACATGAAACCCGGAAAATACGTGGCCAGTCCGTTGGGTGGGCGCGAATCTAGAACCAACTTCAGTGTTCATTAGTTTTATCCACTCGGCCATTGAATAATGCGTGGAAGATGCTTCTGGCTGGGGGAAGATTTGACTACATTAAGTCTTCATCATAATGTGGACAAATCTGCGCTGGTCACAACAAATAATTATTATGTAATTATTAAACACGTTTAGAATATTTAGATAAAATTTCGTGAAGTTATATAAAAATCCAACAAAATTACAGATTTTTCTTTTCTTTTTTTTTAATCGAATACTTGATGGACATTCCTAATTTAATAAATTTTGTCATAACGGCAATAACAGACTTTTTATGAAACATATCAATGTTATATTCAAAAGTTAAATACAAAAGTCAATAGCCGACTTATATTCGTCGATAAATAGAGCAATATTCTCATTGCCAAAAATTAAAATTTCTGATATCGTCAAAAGTTTCGTATATGAAATTATTTTATAGAAAATTGATTTCAGAGTATTAGTGAATCAAGAATAATTTGAAAATCAGAAATAAAAGATACATTCCCATATATATATTTCATTTTTTGACTTTCCGTCCTGGGGACACCATATCTTTTTTCCCCATGCTCATCATAAATTCGGTCAAGTTAACAATGTTCGGAGTGCGAAGAATGAGTCCTAACATTTTTCATTGATTAATTTTCAAAAAGTTTTTAACAATTAGAAAAAAATTCTAGATTTTTAAAAATTTATAACGTTTTTAATTAATTTGAAAAACTGAAAAATAACAAACGTTTTGAAAAACAGTAAAATGTAAATGAATCCGTGTACTGTACTATATGTGTTCTTTATTTACTATTTAATAATACTAAACGCGATGCATAATGCGATTTATTCTATTACATAAGCATGTGTTTTTTGTATATGTATACTCATACATACACAAAATCGAATACTTGCGCAACAGGAAAAAAAATTAGATAATAATAGATGTCGTGTTTTTATTTTATTCGTTTTAGTTTATCATCCTTGAAGCATTGTTTTTTAAGAGGCCCTCAAATTTGGTTGTGTCTGGGGATTTCAAATTGCTTAATCTAGCACATGCTATAATGAAAACTAATATGTGTAATTTTCTATTAAATCAATCAATCTGTTATCATATTGTTCACTCGTTTTGTTCATTACAAAAATTGGTTTTATAGAAACTTCCATTAATTTAAGTTATAAGTTTAATTAAGATTTTTAAAAATTTCATTTGCATAAATGTAGGTATAATATTAGAGAGGTTTGAGGCCGAGGTTTTAAACGCGAAAACGTGTACGTCGGACGTTCAGCGCCGCTTTCCTGTAAGCCTAGAAGTTTGACAATGGTGTTTGGATAGTCAGTGGAATTATGCTCGATATTCCAAACACCATTGTCAAACTTTTAGGCTTAAAGGAAAGCGACGCTGAAAGTCCGACGTACACGTTTTCGCGTTTAAAACTTCGGCCTCAACCTCGCTATTAACATTCCATATATTAATTCTTTTTTCTGGATTTTTTTAATAAAATAAAAATTCTGGTTAATAAATAAATCAAACGAAAACAGTGACGAAATATTATGACATAAATAATTTTATGTGACTTATGTGAATAAGTTTAGATGATAGAATGAGGACTATCTTCAGAGAAGAATTAAATGCCAAAAATTTGAACAATCTAAACCCAGCTTTGTTGCTAATAATGAACCTATAGTAAATTTAGTTATTAAAGTGTTTGTTTAGTAACAATTCAGTTTATTTGATTTCAAATTGCATACACACAGAATTAGATATAAAAAAAAACAATTTAATATTCATCATAAAGTGTTGTTACAAAAATTAAATAAAACAATAATAACAATCACTCAAAATCATTCTTCATTTTTCTGAAGCCAGTTTTAACTATCTCACAAACAAATCTATCTAATCGACTAGAAAATAAATATGATTACGAATTATCATTTTTATAATTTATTGTGAAGGAAACTTTAATGTAGGAAAAACATCCAGCATAATTTCTAAAATTTAAAAAGGAGTCCAATAAAATGATACTTATCTTCATCATCTATATGAAGAAATGGTACTTTCCTCTATATGAAGATCAGTATCTTTTTCAATTATTTTATAAATAATTTTTGAAGAAATATCGATAAATTCACTTCAGATTTTAATCAGTTCCATTTTATTTTTTAAAAAATATTGTAATAATAAATTATAACGATTTTTAATAATTTAATATATGAGTATTTAAAACTTCATGCAATGTTGATTATAAATACGAATAATCGTTATAGATTTTTTAGGGATAGTTTTGTTAATTTGTTTTAAATCTAATCTTAACATGGAGAGAATAGACGAATTTTTCCATATTTTATTCCTAGATGTTATCATTAAACCAAAACTTATCTTAAAATTTTTTTTTTGTAATTTCTCTATAATGAAGGTCTAGATTTTTTCCCTCTGTTTTTAGATTAAAATTTTTGTCTAAAATTAAAATAATTTATCTTAATACTTTTAGATGCATGTTAGAAGTGGTAATTAGAATTACACTTCAGGGATTGAACGATTTTAAAATAGGAATGCATTCAAATATCCTTAGAATCAATATATACCTGTAATATTATTTTTTCTAAAATGATATTTAGACTTTTTTTTTCTGTAAATATATTTTAAAATTTAAAAATCCGATTTCAGTTTTTGTTTACGTAATTTTTGAATCATCATCTTTTAAAAAATCTAATTTAAGAATTAATCTGTAACTCGATCGCTTTGATTTTTCTCAATTAGATTACACTGAAAATTATGTGTAAAGAATGAAATAATTTGAATAAAAGAAATAACAGGCTTTATATATAATCTCTGGTTAAAAAATTATAAACGACAGTAGAAAGTTCGAATGAATCTGCAACGCATTTAATTTATTCAGATTTAATAATTAGAATATGAATAGTATAAACGTAATGAAAAAATTTGATTTTGATGAAAAATTAATTTTTGTAATTTAAATAAATTATCATTTTAATTTTTCCACGAAAAACATAATTTGATTGATTAAACTTCAAGTATCAATACAAATAACTTTGCTGTTAATGTTAATCTTAATGTTAGTTTTCTTATGAATAGTCAATTTTTAAAATTAAAGTTTTGTCGTAGCCTACATGTTAACTTGCATGTAAATTCATGTATAAATTGACATAAATTCGCTATGACATTATAAAGAAACAAAATTATATTCATATTTTTACTAATCATATGAATGTCTAAAAAAATGATGCTATCGTAATAACATTTTAGTAGCAATAACTAAATCGAAATTATATATTAACTGAAAATTACTATTATTACAATTAGACGATAGCTCAATTATGAAATTTTCTTAGACATTGTAATAAAATAATGAAAAATATGCTTTATGAACCAAAAAGACTTCTTATATTTTCTTCTATATCTTTTAGAAAATACGTATTTGCTTCTGAGGATTCAGAAGCAGTTTATCTTTCTCTAACTAGGACAATAAACATCTCGGTCAAGGGTCACCAGGAGCATAGATTAGTGACAATTTTGTTATTTCCTCTATAGTGGTGTTTCCCTTTCATCGTAAAAGTTTGAGGTAATTTTGAGTTTTAGTTTTAAATTTTATCTAACTGATATATCTATTTGATGTGAAAATCAAACTAAATATTGAAATTGGTTCGATAAAATTTTAAAAATATATATTTAATTAGTTAATTTGTTAAAATTGTGTATTTATTGTTAAATTTTTAAATTTTAATGTTTTTATTATGTAAATTAATTTATGTGTATATTAGTTCGAACATTTTTATAAATCAAATTCCTGTAGACTTATACATCATGATACTTTTTACCTTTGGAAAAGTAATAAATTTTTGATATAATAAATGAATTTGCTACGGACTTTTATTAGAATAAATATAAATACTAGAGAAAAAATAATTAATTTTATTACTATTTTAAATATATTTATTCGTCTTCTTTTTTTTATATGGAGATTTTAATCCCTAAATAAAAATTTTGCATTAAGTTTCATTTATTTACGTCATTTGAAATATGACGTAACGAAGTTTCATTGAAACCATCAAAATTTGAATTTAAGTTTTATAAGACATCTCCTAAATTAATATATATATATGTGTATGTATGTATATATTATTAAAAAAGTAAATTAATAAGAAAAAGTTATCCAAGCAGAGCAAAGAAACCTTTATATGCAAAGCACGATTGGAGGAGAGCTTCAGCTGCGAAGTGCCTGAGGCCATCTCTGACGTGATTATTTAGGCACAAGGTAATGCTATAAAAGCAGGTAGGGCGGGTATTAAAGTGGCATTTTGTGTTTCCACACGATAGTAACTGTTCTGTCGACAGTGTGTTGGTTAATCGGTACAATATATTTTAATGAACGTCATGAATGTTTTGCCAAAGAGATGTGTCTGTCGTCAACTCATAATGCAGATACGTTTTTATCAAAGTGTTTTAGATAATATTACGAACAATTCCACAAATCCACACATTAACACGGAAGAAATAGTAAGCATTCGAAAATGTATGCTTGAACTTACAGAAAATCCCATTCAGAGGAAAAGTAGTTGTTCGAACAAAGAGAAAATGAGGACGTTTCATTCTATTCCAACCCCCAAAGGTTTACCGATTATAGGTACAATATTTGACTTATTAAGCAGTGGAGGTGCTCCTATGATACACGAGTATTGTGATCGAAGGCATAGAGAACTTGGACCAATTTATCGGGAATGCCTCGGTTCTGTAGATGCAGTGTTTGTAGCTGATAGTGATTTAATACAACAAGTATATAGCAACGAAGGAAAATATCCTAAGCATATGGTGCCTGAGCCTTGGATCATCTATAATGAAATGTATGGAAAACAACGTGGTCTATTCTTCATGTAAGTTTAATAGGAAATTAACAATGTTTTATTTGCTAGTTGTATAAATTTAGTAAAACTACGGAATCTTTATAATAACAGAATAGATTGCGTAAAGTTCTGATCTTTTTCTCTTAACTGTCAATTATTGTCTTAAAATTAGTCTCACATTTTCAGGGATGGTCAGAAATGGAGTCAACGCAGAAAATCTTTGAATAAAGTATTTTTGAAACAGAGAAGTGTATCCGAATACTCCGATGAATTTAATAATGTCATTTCGGAGCTGTTACAAAGGTGGCTAATTATAAGAGATAACAAAAATACTTTGCCAAATCTCGAGAAGGAATTGTATAACTGGTCTATTGAATGTAAGATTATATATTTTTTTGTTAATACAAACCCCTCATTTTAGAAATTTTTAATACGAACAGATCCCGATCTTTTTAACTTATTAACATACATTTTTTGTCTATAAATTTATAAACTAGTATGTATAATAGCATTTATTTATCAGATAAAATTAACAACATACAATTTGATTTTAAAAAAAAGAAAAAAACACCGGTCAATAGCCTGATGCACAATTATAAGCTGCAGAATTGGCACTGTGCCTTCTCGTAACTTCCGGGGGTTCCCCCTTTACTCAATCCCTGACCTTACAAAAGCTAGCCGACGTAGAATATTACGTCATTCTTGTCGTACTTCCTTGTTCGTTCCTGTTTGTTGCTAAATGAATGAGTGGAAAACTGATTATAAAACTGTAATTTTAATATTTTTTAAATTAAGTTACTGGCTTATCGACCTTGGTTTGTAGACCGAGGTTTTTAATAGGTGTCAAGTTTTTAACATGATTATAGATGATACTGTAAATTTTTTTTAATTGCATTTTTTATTCAATTTAAACTTTTTATCATAGATAAGGCTAAATTTAAAAAAAAAATTTAAAGATCAATTATCAATACAGTAAATTTTTGTTTTGAAGGAAAGATTTAATATACAAAACTATTCTTCACTGAATAAACTAATATGATAGTACTTAATTTGAAGTTACGTAACTTTTTTTATCCCCTAATATTTATTTTAAACATTAATAATTTAATTATCTTCAACTTATAAACCATTTTAAATGAACTGAAACTACTTTTTACAAATAAAATTTTAAAATAAGAATTACTGTGAAATAGTTTAAGTATGATTTTACTTCAGCTCTCGGGACCATGATCTTTGGCAGACGTCTTGGTTGCGTACAGGCAGAGAAATTAGGAGATATTCACGAATTTGTACATTGTGTTCAACAGATATTCTTAGAATCTGCCAGAATGACAATGATTCCGCCAAGATTAGCGAGTTTGCTAAATCTTCCGGTGTGGAAAAGATTTGTAAAAGCTGCTAATAGAGCATTGGAATTAGGTAAATATTGCTGATGATGATGTATTTTTATGTTTAACTTTTAGTTAAATTGAGTTTTTTAATTTTAGCTCAGAGTTATGTCGAGGAAAATGTAACGGAGATTATAAAGAAAGCAAATACAGGAGAACCAGTGGAAGGGATTCTTAGTCAACTCTTACTGAAAGATAAAATCGAAGGAGAAGAAATAGTCAGAATCATCACTGACTTGTTTTTAGCTGCAGCAGATACAGTAAGTAGCCTAATTCTTAAATATAACTAAGTATATTATAAATCAAATAGATATAATAGACTAATAATACAATCAAAAGTTGACAACAAAAATTGAGCACTCGACCCAAGCAAGCGAAATATTTTGACCTTCTATATAACTTTCAACCGCATGAACTACTGACCTACTTCAAATCCCGCGACCCCATTCGATAAGTCATTGGAAAGACTGAAAACGGGAATCATCTTCATCTTCAGTTTTTAATATTTGTATAATTTTTCCAGACTTCTCACGCTACTCAATGGACGCTATATCTCCTAGCAAAAAATCCAAGATGCCAATATAAATTGTTGGATGAAGTGTCTAAAATAGTCGGGACAAATGACATGATCAATGAAAGTCATCTCGTTCATTTGCCTTATGTTAAAGCAATTATAAAAGAAGCACTCAGGTATTTATTGTATTTATATGCCCAAGGCAAAAATAAACTGTTTCCCCTAAAGGAAATCAGTTTCGCCTTGAATATATTGATAGCCTTGAATGATGTAAACTATATATTTCAACATTTTATTTTCAATCTTAACAATATTTCAATTTTTCTTTTTCTGTACAGGATATATCCAGTAGCTCCGTTTTTGACCCGCATTTTGTCTAAAGATATTACCTTGAAAGAATATCTAATACCAAAAGGAGTAAGTTTCTGTACTCTACTAGTATTTTTTAAAAATTCACCTAATTTATTTTTTCCTTGCTTTTTAGACACTCATTTTAATGTCATTGTATACAACAGGACGAGATCAAAAGTATTACTCGAATCCGAACCACTTTTACCCTGAACGTTGGATTCGTGATAGCGAATTCAGCAATTCAATTAATTCGTATGCCTTTTTACCATTCGGAATAGGTTCTAGGTCATGTATAGGACGGCGTGTGGCTGAACTACAAATGCAGTTCCTCATAACAAGGGTAATAATCTAAATTCTCTAACAGCAGCAAATTTTTTATAATGAATTTACTGTTTTTTTTTATTTTTAGATTGTTCAATTGTTTCATCTTCAGCTTGAAAATAAAAACGATGTCAATATAAAAATGAGAATGATTACTACACCTGATCAACCTATACAACTACAGATGATAGAACGCAAGATGAACTAAATTATTCGCGAATAATATAAACTATTAGATACCTAAATTTATAATAAGAAAATTATTTTATTTATATTCGTAAATTTCAAAAATTTATTTCCATTACGCATGAAATTTAATGGTGTTTAGATACTTAAAACTTTAAGGTACTTCTTCTATTTAATGTTTTTTTTTTTTTTTTTTTGTTTTTGGATAATTGATTTTTAACTTCGAAATATCTTCTCCTTTATTTCTAACTTTTTTAAAAAAATCTTAACTGTTATTTAAATTTTTTTTTAATTTTAAGTTCTCTAAATTTATTGTCTATCCTTGAACTTTTTTCTGAAATTCTTTTTTTAGTTTTTTGAATTTTATAATGGTTTTTCAACTTTAGAGAATTAAATTCTTAAGATGATGATTTTTGAATTTACGAAAATTTAGAATTTTAAAGTCAGTTTGAATATCTTAGTCCTCCTGGATTACTTGAAATTTGAACTGTTGCAATGATTTTAAAAATAAGGGCTTATTTTGATGCCTAATGTATTTGTATATATGAATGTATAAATCTTTGTACAGATATATAAACTATTGAGCCATATTGAACATGTGAAATGAAAAAAAAATAATAAAAATTTCAAAAAACTTAAAAGAATAAGATTAATACGTCGATTCATTAAAAAAAATCTACACAACAAATCGTTATATAAACTGTTCCCCTCTTACTGATTTACAAGAGGCAAATTCTCAGAAACTTTTCAGAAACTTGTGTAAAGAATAACTTCCAATTTTAAGTCAAATCTAAATTGTACCGACTTCATAAAAATACGTTTAAGAGTTATATATATATATATATAAATGGACATGTATGTAATGTCCCTATATTTCACTTTTCCGCCAAAACTACACATCGCACGTGAATAATGTTTGTACGTGGTGGTAGCCCCAAGTCTCCATTCGTGCATAGGGGTGGTTGCGTCTCGATAGCTATAAGGGTGCGGGAGATATGAGGTTGAAAATGGCTTTCTATTTCGAATGTTTTGTTCGAATTAAATTCAAACATAAAATTCGAATATTGGTTCGATTATAGAACGATTGTAAACGTTCCAGAAACGTTGAAAATAGTTCGTTTGACTAAACGTAAAAATTCTCTAATTAGTCTGGAAACGGGGGACCTAATTCTTGCATTCTGTGAAAACGGGTAAGATTAGCTATAATGTGTTTATCTTAATCTTCACTATCGTTACTTTTTGCCCAGCGGAGCGGGTCCTTGCAGCTAGATTCTAGATTACTTAGAAAAACAGTCTTTTATATATAATATATATATATATATATAACTATATTACAAGTAAAAACCCAGCGAAGCGGGTCCTTGCAGCTAGTCTTTATATAAAACTTACATCATTACGAATATATACTTTAAAATGTATATTCATAAAGATCCATAAAATGATACAAAATATCTTTTTATTTTTAGTTTTTAGATTTTTATAGTTTAAATATAGTTTTTAGATTTTTATTTTTAAAAATCTAAAAACTATAGTTTTCAGATTTTTATTTCTAATAAAATTAGTCAATTCTCATTACCTGAAACAATCAAATTTATTCGAAAATAGACTTAGATCAAATTAAATGTTAATTACTTTGATCATTATGAACACTATAAGAGTAAAAAGTAATGTTTTTGAAATCTTTTTTTTCCGATATCTCCTCCCAGATTTTATCTCAGAACTCAATTTCAGCACAACGAAGATTTGAACATGAACATCCAAATTTAACTAGCTGAGATTCATATTTTGTTTTAAATTTGCCGAACTGTTCTAGTGATTTCTATTCTTACAAAAGTACACTGTACAACGTGTAAACTTCATATTTCTTATTGAAACTGTAACGAAGTGAGATATTTTGTCAAAATCGAGATATATAAATGACAAAACTCGAACTACCAAATTATTCGTAATGTCTTCATTTATCAACTTTAAACATTCAGAGCACACTTTTTTGGAACTCTTCAGGATAAGATTTGTCATCCCTTGCATTAAAATCTTTAAATTTATCGAATATTCTTAAATGTCAAGGACGGACGTGCAAAGTCTAAAGCTTTCACTAGATGTGTTGAATATTTATTTATTTTCACTTTAAATTATCTTTTTGTTTGAAAGTGGTGGTGTTTTTAAGAAAGCTTTTGAAACCTTTTGAAACCTTATCCCAAACACACAAAATAGACAGGACGGTATTTGAATGATTGTTGTTTTATGGTTCTTTAATTGTTGAATATAGATCGAAATTTTTCATAAATATCAATTTTTCACACCATGATGGATATAAAGAATTTTAAATGAAACATATAAAGCTGTCTTGCGTCTAAATTTAGTTAATAATTTTCTCACGTCAAAGAGAATGTCTTAGAAACAATTTTTACCTAAATACTAGAAAGTCAAAGTAAAATTAACTATTAGAACTATTTTAACATGTTCGACCATAATGTTTTCATCTAAAAAGCTCTGAATAAATTTTAAAAATGAACAGGTGTTGTTTTTTAATAAAGCCTAAAAATAAATTGTTCCTAAACTGGCTACAGATGTAGAAAAATGTTTTGAATTTAGGGATGCACATAGAAAATGAGCAATTATTTATTGTGACATCGTCACAATGCCGGGCTGCAATTTTTAATCATATGTTTTAAATTTAGTAAATAAAAAAAATATGCTCTCCACCTCAAATTAGTGTCTTGCTCCTGTACTGTACATCATACTTTTCCTGTTAGATGACCGGCATGACACTATTACTAACTCCTTTCGGAGAAAATTTTTGAATTGAAATAACGTGACTTCCGGTGAAAACCAGAAGTTCATACATAGTTAATCGGGCCTCCTGCCCCTAAGGTTTCTATATCTGGTATCTTCTTTCGTCTCACTTCTAGAGATTAAAGAAAAATGGACGGACGACAGTGGGAATTTATAGGCCCAATGATTGTGAAGACAGTAATGATGCCATCAGTTGCGGTTTGGTTAGATTGACGTTTTCATTATTTAAATTCACTATTTAATAAAGTAATCATAATTGATTTTAAATCATCATCTATTTGAAATCTAGTATTCAAACACCTAACATTGCATAAAAATAATGATTTTAATGAAAGAACAAGATCTGAAAATAATTGTTTGGCATTGTGCAAAACGATTATAAGCTATACTATATTTTATAGTAACTTGGGTAAAATTTCGGGTATTGTTTACTATTCATGAGATAATCCTACTGTGGAGTCGATCGGAGCAAAATGAAGTCAGTGATATAATCGATAATATACTAAAAATTTTGCATAAATGTAACTTCATTTTTTTCGTTTAGAACAGTAGTGTTTAAATTATGGCCCGCGTTAGACGTTAATCTGGCCTGCAAACATAATACACCACTTATGATTGAAACAGGTATACTTTAGGCTGTATGGAACGTACAGAAATATTTGTGGCCAGCCTACCTATGACTTATGCGCAGTTTGATCCACCAATCAAAATGGTTAGGCAGAATTAGTTTAGAATGTCAAAGTAAACGTAATTTTGATTCAGCTTTTCTCCGTTTCAATGACAGAAAAATTCAATTTCTTTAATAATAGAAGAATTAAGTATTTAGTAATAGTTAATTTCTTGATAAAGTTTCAATTTTCTTCAAAAGATATGAACAAAAGTCAAATAAAATGATAATTCAAATAATAATTAACATTTAATTTTTGAAATTAATCGAAGAGAGATAATGTTACGAGAAAAATGAATGATTAACGGTAAAAGATATTAATTCTCTGGATTTCATAAATTGGTTTTAATGGCTGGAGAAATGCTAACACATTATTTTAACATTATATTTACTTACGTTTCTTTACGACTATTTAATCAGATAATCGCATAAAAATATTAGATTATTCAAGGACTACGCGAATGTATACCTAAAATATAATTTTTACGTTTCTGACTCTGTTATATATAACAGAGGGAAAGTGTGATGATCAGTAAAAAAAATGACACTCCAAGATTTTTACATTTTTGGACTCTGGACCTTGAAACGTCAAGAAATGCAGACAAAAAAATTCGGGTTTTTTCCTGTATATTTGGATGTGTGTGTGTGTGGGGGGGAAACAGTTTTGTTCACTCAATTTGAAACTTAACAACTTCTGTGCTTATTTATCGAAAATTTCTGAAATTTTTCAGGAAGGTTTATATATTAGAGGATTAATGCTATTAAATTTTGGCTGTTAAAGGTCGAGGGGTGGGGAGATAGAGAAGGTAGTGTATCATATCTCGAGTGAGGTCGGACTTAATGACGATTATACTCATTAATAGCATTTACAATATTTATAAAACTCATTTCTACCCTGAAAATTAAGCTTTTTGCCATTTTATAATAATTAAAAATATAAAAAGTTTTTAAAATAAAATATCATAACAGATGACGCCACACACACAGTTTTAAAGGTTGCCGAGAAAGTTAAGCAACTTGTTGGATTTTTAATCTGTAAATCTATACTTGAAGTATTTAACACGATTATATAAAAGTAACATGCTATACAGATGTATGTAAAAGTAAACTTAAATGAAAGTAGCATCAAGTGTTAAATGTATGCATGTAGAAAAAACCCAAAACTCAACAAGAAAACAAATGAATTTGTATCGATTATTAAGATTAACACCTTGAATACTATCTCTTTATTACTTCACGTATCATTTCTCATTTTAAGATCATAAAGATTTTCTATTACATATATTATGGTATAAACATGAGCCAGAACTTTGTATACCAATAATATCAAATAATATAACTAGGTAAATATCAAATAATTTCAACATAAAATGTTTTTACGTTTACTGGAATCGGTAATATGGAAATATAAATTATAATCCAAATATCAAATTTAGTTCAAGATGTTCGAGGATATTCTTTCGCTGAGAATCTCGATCACTTATACTTAAAAAGACATTTCTCAGAAGGAGAAAACAAGAAAAAAACGGGAAAGAAAAGAAATAAATAAAGTATATTTCCGAGATTTAAAATATTAATAGAAAAGAAATTTAAACTATTTATCAGGAAACATATTTATAAGAATAAGAAATTTATGATTTATTTTAGTTGTTGTGTACAGGCACAATGAAGTGACGTTTTTTTCAACACTGGGCTAGTTGAATCTTTTATT